CCTCCTTCTGTGCGTTCCTCCACATTAAATGCAGAAATCCGTTCCTCATCCAGCTTCCCCTCCTGTATCCCCGACCCTCCGTCTTTGTCTTCGACTCCCTCCAGAGGCGGTATGTCGCCATCCTCTTCCTCTTCTTCCTCCTCTTCTTCCTCCTCCAAATCTTCACCGTCTTCTTCATCCAGCTCCTCATATTCCTCCCCATCAAAAAACTCATCAGCTAACTCACTTACATCCTCCTCTTCGTCCTCCTCATCTATCCCCTCCTCCTCCTCATCCTCCTCCAGCTCTTCATCTTCATCTATGTCCTCATCATCTTCCTCTTCATCATCAGTACTGTTAATATTGATGACAGCAGAATCTTCGCTGCTGGCAGCAGCAGCTGGTTGCTGGTGGAGGTGCCGTCCCTGCTGACTTAATTGATTCTGCAGGTGCATCTGGAGCGGTAACCCCATGGGACCAGCCTGGCTTGCCGTCGAGGGCTGCATAAGCATCTGCTGGAGCTGCGGTCTGCCAGGCAATGACTCCCCCAGACCAACAGGTGGAGCTGTAAAGGTGCTGGAGTTCAAAGGTGGAACCAGGGAGACCACCGAGGCACTGGAAGGAGGAAAGGAGTTGATGGAGGTGGTGGAAGCAGTGAGGAGGGGGGAAGAGGCAGCCAGGTCATTGGGCAGAGAGACCCCGTCTATTGTGGCTGCGGCTGCCGTAGTTGGGACCATGGTGACAGATTCTGCACCTGCGAGTGTCACACCAGTGCCACCCGGTGCAGAGGAGGACATGCTCTGTGAGTTTGCTGCTGCGTCGTCCTGCTGAGTCTCCATGTTAAGCATACCCGGAGGAACAATGACCACGCTGTCGTCCGAGTCACTTGCCAGAGAGATCTCGACGTCTTCGGCTTCCTCTTTGTCAAAACGCACAAACACGGGTCTCTGTCCATCCGGAGGGCCCAGGCCTGCAGGATCAGGCTGGTGGTGCGAATGTGGGGACAGAATCATGTCTCCTGCAGTCGGACCCTGGCCTGGAAGTCCCGGAACCAGAGACAGATGGTTCTCAAAAGAGCTCAGAAGGGAAGCAGGGCCCAGGTTGAGAGAGTGACGGGCGGGAAAAGGAGGGCCTGGGGCAGGACCTCCAAGCAGGTTTGGCAAGGTTAATCCAGGGGCAGGTCCCTGGGAAGAGGGCAGGACCGGAGTGGTGGAGGAAGGTTTCATGGTGAGAGGTGGCAAAGGAAGGGCGATGGAGGGAAAGCGGGGATGAAGGATCAAGTTACAGATGGTCAAGGCCTCCGCGCAGAACGAAGACACCTGAGAAAGTGGACGAAGGGTTTGATTAAAAGCTGGAAACAGTGAGCAGACAAACACTTCATGTTTTTGCCAAGTCTGAAACTGTTAAGTCAATCTGAGCTTTAACAGAAGACTTGAGGCAGATTGTACATCATTGTCTCCATAATTATTTTATTTCAACTTCACAGCAAGACAAATGTTGATCCTTCCACTCACTACACGTTGCTACATTTTAAAAACCTTTTTGCAGCGCTTCAGGTCCTTAGGGCTTACCTTAACATTCCTGTCGGTGCGCCCGTTACTGAGGATTGACACAGCACAGGTCAGAGGTGGGGGCCAACAGGGTGAGGGGACCAGGACCAGGGCCAGCAATAACCTTCAAATTCATACAAGTGAAACAGCTCCTTCAGTCCAACACGAAGCTAAAGTGAACTTTTGCATCTACAGAACATAGACCAGTTCGGGGCCCACAGTGGTGCTGGTGCTAGGGTGGTGTCAGACTGGGTCCAGTCTGAATAAAGCACTGTGTGGACATTCCTTCAGTCAACAGTGGAACATTTAAACTCAACCTGGACAAAAAGCAGGAGCAGCACCGTAACACTACTGGAACACTAATGTGTGGCTCATCGTTAACATGAAGATCGTACCTGTACAGTTCTCGTCGAGTCAGAGCACTGCTGTACTGCCCACTCGCGCTCCCTGCAGATTCACATGCATTGCTGCTGCAAGACTGCTGCTGCTGCAGGCGCACACACAGTGGCAGAACCACCTCATGGAGCCGCTTGAAGGAATCGACAGGACACAACAGTGTAATCGTTCGTTATTAAAAACAATAAAATGAAGAGTCTCTCCTGCAATACACCAAAAATGCAAAATGATGGAAAAACAAACAAAAGCATTTTACTTTACAGCTGCAGATCATCACAAGATGGGAAACGCGTCTTACTACATCATAACTTGTAATCAGTATCCCAACCTGACGTGGACCTGCTGAGACATGTAACTCCACGTCGACGCTAACCACACCACTTACAGTTACAGCCGAGTAATATTACACTGAAACTGATGCAATTGGATAATAATGGTCCACAAACTGAAGCTAATGATGTGGGAACTGCAGGGTAACAAGAATGCAATAATGTGCTAATTCCTATGTTATTACTACTCTATTACCTGAGGTAGGTTCTGTGTAATAAGCAGGAAAACGGCCTGTTTCTATTTAATAACACATTAATAACCATGTTAATCTTTTAAAACAAACTGCTAGTCAAGTAAAATGATCATGCATAATGTTAATAATTAGTTTAAAACAATAACACACATGAATCCATTAGACTGTACACTGAAAAATTCAGTTTTAAAAGAAGAACAAGGTTTAAACAGATGATGTTCGGCAGCACTTTGAGCAACAATTTCACAGATATGGGCGTTCTCTATTTAAAAAAGTAAACATGCATCACTATAATGTGTGTATGAAGTTACATAATTTCTTTTCTGGCTACAAGAACATATTAGAACACGTTGGGATATTTCATGTGGATCATTAGAAATGCACTGTGGGTGGAGGAAATCGTTGCTTAAAGAACTGCAAACATCTGCTTAAACACGGATCTTCTTCCAAAGCGGGCGGCTCGGTGCCACTCGCTGCAGCAGAGGCTGATCTGTGGATGGTTGGAGACGCCTGTAGAAAGTGTCTCCCTCTGCTGGGCACTCTTTTGTAGCGCTTATGTTACTTGAAATCACATTTACCTTGTGAATGTCGTCCTTCAGTAGCGTCCCACTGGTCTGTATGATCTGTCTCAGTGCTACAAGGATGACAAAGATCAGTCTGGTATCAGAATATCATACGTAGTATACCAGTAAACTCCCAATAACATTAAACTTGGTTTGCATCTCACCCCTGACAGCTGCAAGGCAGGTATCTTGATTGGCTAGATGGTCTCCTTTCCTCTGCAGCGATGGCCCGACTGTATCTGCCATCACCAAATGCTTCGTCCTACGAGGGCCAGGCTTTCCTCCAGGAACAACATCAGCCGATAGTCCCGCCCGGAGCTGGAAACAGGACACCCCACGCACAGGAGCAGAGAGCTCAGCACATCCCAACAAACCACTGGTTCCCTTTAGCTTCATAAAGGTCAGAGCTTAAAGTAAATTTTTTAGATTTAGTGCTCATGACTAATCTCTTAGTCGACTAACCGTGGGGAAAAATGGACGAGTCTCAGATATCAAGTTAGATTTGATAACCCTTTAGTGGAAAACCTCCAAAACTAATAGCAAAGCATTTTAAACAATTACATTCTTAGGTTCTCTGTTTGAAACTTCCTGACCACGACTTCAAACTAAAACAGGAAAACAGTGAATCATCCGGCGTTTTTGTTCTGCTTATCTGGAGTCAGGCTTTGGGGCAGCAGCCTCCCTTTTATCACCTCCTCCAGCTCATCCGTTGAAATGCCGAACATTTCCAAGGCCAGCTGATAGATCTGTCGACATTAGCAGTCTCCTTTAGACGTGGAGGAGTAGCAGCTCTACTCTGAGCCCCTCCTGAATGACTCAACTCCTCACCTTATCAGTAAAGGCGAAACCTCTCTGCGATGTTTTTCTAACAGTGTTAACAAACTACGAGGCCTAGATGATCAGATTTATGGCGTTTCTCAACACTGATGCGCCATCTGGTGGCACTGCATTGATACAGACTAGTGACGACGACTAGTCCAAATGCATCTTTCCCCTACCTTGACAGACTCTGCTCCTGGTGTGATGTCCCCGAGTAGGTGGTTAAAGAGGAGCTCCGAGTGCCCCGGGCTTCCCTGAAGGATGCTAGAAGACGCTCCGGCAACCTGGACCCACAGCTCCAAGGTTCTGTACACTGACACCCGCACTGCACTGTGGGAAGGAGGAGAGACAAGAGATGAATATACTTGATGACACATTATTAAATCTTCCCCAGTGCAGCAGCTCAGACTGTCCCCAGTTTCCCATAATGTTACTAAAATAAGCTCCTCGATCCCCACACGGAGTTTTCATTTCATCTTCTTTGTGTTGCAACAGATCAGTTAAGACTTTCTTTCTTTTCTCGGGACTAAAAACCTCTAAATGGTCATCATTCACTCCTTCAGACGTCTGCGAGCACACACAGCGTGCTAAGGACACTTCAGGGCAGTGATGAGAACGGTGATCTTACATCAGCCTCTCTGAGGAAACCTTTGTAAAGATTTTGTTACTTCCAGTTGTTACAGTACTTGGTGGTTGTCTTGGTAACCACTGACTCTGCTCCACGGCTCTCAGGATCAACTGTAGGTTGTAGCTACACACGCTGCACACACGTAATGAAATATGATGCACTAGCTGATATTAGCTGTGTACGAGGTTTCCAACTGCAGGCTGAACTCGCGGCTTCAGTCAGTACTCCAAACAGCAGCTGTGCGAGGCTGTGAGTCACCTGTAGGCCCTCTGCTGTCCCACACTGGTCTCAGGTAGGGGGGTCCAAGCAGAGAGTGTTTGAGAAAACAGCCTCTGTATTACTGCAGCGTACTGAACCATGCCGACCCGTACTCTGTAACACAGCACAAATCCAAGAGTCAGGCTTGCAGGAAATCAAAATGTGGCCTCCTGCGTGTGTGTGCGAGTACTCACACAGTGATCACACTTGACAGGACTTCCAGGGTGTTGCTGTGTATGATGGGGAGGACCAGCAGCCTCACACTTCCATCTCCTGTTAAATTCTGACACACAAAGTCAAACGTGCATTAAGATCAGTAGTGCTTTTGACACGGTCTCTGTTCAGTAAGTGTTATTGTGTGTGTGCTCACTATGCTCTTGGAGCTGACAGCAAGGGCTCGGCACACCAAGTTGAGCATTGGCCTGACGGGCAAGCGCACAGCTGAGGCGGGATCTACTCTGATGGAAGGAAACGACAAAGGAATGCAACGAGTACCAGAAACAATGAAAGCCTTTACTGCTCGTACAGGTTCTTATTAAACAAAGGGGCCTTTGAGTGTATTTGTGTAAATGTTACAACTATGCTAAAAAGCTGAGGTAAAGAAATAAGAGGTACAACTGATTCAATTGGGTGTTTTCCAGATGTTTTCTGTATCCCAGTTATCCTAATACCAGCTTGGTCAATAATGCTGCATTCCAGTTAGTTCAGAAGTCTGATGTCAGAGCTCTGACACGACTTCACTCCTAAACTGAGCACGTCGCAGTAGTAAAGTCTAAAGATTGCTTTGCTTCTTAGTAAGGCAAAGCATCTGTGCATCACTATCGATACAGAAAATGCTCCACCCACAGCTGCAGCATGTTCATGCAGACAGCCTGACCACAGATTGGTTTAATAGGGTCACAGATACACGACAGTGGCAGCACAGATTAAAGGTTGTGCAGGAGGGTCAAATCCAAGTTGAGTCATTCCAGATGAAACCTCTGAGTGGGAAAGGTGTGTGTGCTTGTCTGCATGTGTTGTACCTAAGTGTGTGTTTGAGTGCGAGGCACACAGCAGTGTATCTGTGCTGGAGCTGCAGGAGCAGCAGGGGATCTGTTGGGTCCAGGTGAGGAAAGGCCAGCTCCATCCCGGGACCTTGATACTGCATCGCTCCATCTGTGACCGCAAGAAGCAATCGAGTGTGAGTAACCTCGGTAACAGTAAACGGATACAGTCACACCATCACGTCAGCACCTCCAACACTGACAGCTGTTCACTGCACGGTTCACTGACTGATTTACTTGGTAGAAATGCATTTTATCTAGAAAAGTGAGGAGTGTGGAGGAGTGATACGCAGTGTTTGGGCCACAGTGACGCGCTGTAAGACAAAAGAACATAACTGCACCATTTTAAACAAAATGTGTGGCCAGCAGGAGAAGTTTGCTTTGACATTATCGAGTTAATCAAGGTGCGTCGACACGACAACGTCGAGGACTGTGGACGACGAAAACAGGACTTTAACCCAAGATTCAATCAAAACTTGTTTTTGTTACGTTTTAGTTTTAGGCTTTAATACCACATGTAGGTCTGCAGCTCGAATAAGAAATACTTTTGTCTTATTAATAAGAAATGATAAAGAATTCAAAGAGAAACAACAAAGTTCTTTCAGAATAAACTGCTCAATGTTTGAATCTGTCACAAAACCAAAACTGAACCATCGGATTGTGTTTCTACATGAAATGACTGAGTGTGTCTGTGCTTTGATGCCGTTTCTATGGCGATAAAAAAACATGTTATAATTAATATTAATCATAATTCAGGGTCCAGAGTTCCACTGGCCCACGTACACTTTACTGGCTTATGAAAAAGCTTTTATTTTTACAGTTTTAAATAGCGATTCATTTTAATTAACACAATGTTTCATATTAGTTGGATGGAAGGAGACAGATTTGAAGAATTTCTTGTTTTCATTGTTTGTTAACTGACGTGTTTTTGTTTCTTTTCACTAAAAAATGTAAAAACTCCAAGCGTACATGGACGGAGACAAACACACACAGAAGCCAAATGTCACCACTGCTCACAAAGAAAACAACACACCTGTTTCTGAACCTTGGTAGAGCTGAGCCAGCAGGCCATTGGCAGAGGCCAGTAGGCAGTGAATCTGATTGGTCCAGCCCTCAGCTCTGCCAGCCCCGACCCCTCTGTCCAGCACGCCGCCCAGGCAGGGCAGACGACCGTAGCACTGACAGGCCATCTGACAGAGTAACAGCAAAACAAACGTTCAAACAAATCTTCAAATAATGATAATAATCTTTAAAAAAAGACTCGGTGCATGTTTTGTCAAACCTCTTGTGTTTTCCTGTCTGTGCTGTCCATCTTGGAAAGGAAGTACGCTGCCAGCTTGTCCTTAAAAACAACAACAGGTGCAGGTTTGACACAGCTGGGTTCTAAACAGAGGCAGCCAGTAGAATACAGAGTACAGCACAGAATACTGCTAAAGTAATACTGTAGCAACATTAAACTATATACTGGTGTAAAAAATTCCAAGTATAAATTGAATGTTTTTATTTATTTTGCTGACAATGACCGAATTTCCCAGAGGAACCCACCCGAGGGATTAATAAAGTTTTATCTTATCTTAATCTGTCAGAAGTGTGCGACAGCAATGACTAATAAATAATAGATATTATTATTATTGTTGTTATATAGTAAGAGGAAGAAGAAGAGATATTTAGTAGCACCACGATAACAATCCAAACAGTCTCAGGAAGGAGTGTCTCACCCTCAAGGATCCACACGCTCTCGGATAGTAGGTCATACAGGCCGTCATTCCCTCCATGGCTGCCAGCTCACACTAACATCAAACGGGAACATAAACCGTTTTAAGGCTAGTTAGAAGATCGATATCTGAGCTGAAGCTAACTGAATAATAACAGATGCAATTATACATAAAGTATTACATTGTAACTAAACACAACTTTCAATTCACCCATCCTCATCAGGGTTGTGGGGCGGTGTCAGAGGCAGGGTCGCCAGTCTGTGGCAGGGCTAACACTCACATTCTGTGGCACTAACTGTGTGTCAAAGTACCTGGATACACACTCCACCAGAGGGGCTCCGGAGCCCTCCTGGTGGGCCCTTCCACTCACCGCCTTGTCACCTCACCTCTGACTTGAGACCCAGCAGGGATGTGAGGATGCCCAGGATGGAGTTGAGGCCAACCTCTCTGGCCAGCTCTGCTAGCTGAGACGAGTATTGCAGCAAGTCCTTCAGAACGTTCACTGCTAGCTGCACAGTCTCAACTGGAGCCTGAGACTAGTGAAGAACAAAAACACAGAAAGTATTTTTAATTTTAAAAATGAAACGCTAACCTTTAATTTTTAGACCTTAAGATAAAATGGAGAAAAATAGCAATATTGTAATGATAACAGCCGACACGTGACTTTACCTGTATGACCTGCTGCAGGGAGCGCAGCCACGACAGGCAGTGCTGCTGGAATAGATCGCTGGAACTGTCTTTAACCAGCATGGAGAGCAGGCAGAGCCCCTCGAACCTGCTCACACAGAATCATGTTAGAAACATACAGTATCAAAGTGAACCTGTTTCGACTGTGTGAAATTCTATTCACATTCATAACATTGTATCAACAGGAGATGTTGAGCTAAAGGTGAGTAGATGAGGGCTTAAGAACAAAATGCTACTGATTCGCATGGAGACTCATCAATGTGTTAGAATGAACCGAGGTTAATAAAACACACATCATATCCTGTAGCATAGATGATCATTTGTAAAAGCACAAAGTACGCGGCGTAAACAGAAGTGGTCCTAGCACTGAACCCTGGGGAACTCCATAATTATCCTCAGTGTGTGAAGAGGACTCTCCATTCACAAAAAACAGAAGTCTATTAGACAGTCATGATTCAAATCCCTGCAGCGCAGTGTCTTTAAGCATGACTCTGATGGTCGACAGCATCGAGAAGGACAAGCACAGAGATGAGTCCACTGTCAGAGGCCATAAGATCATTTATAACCTTCACTAAAGCCGTTTCTGTGCCGTGATGAAAACCTGGGGTTGTTCTTACTCCATTAATAAGTGATCAACAGTGAGACGTTCTGGCTTTATGGATGTTTTTGTTTAAGAGAGCAGCAAACTGGCTTTTCAGGCTAAATGCTGAGTTTCACAGCTGGGGTGGACGAGGCTTAGTGTTTCTGAGTCTTTGGTTGATTGATAAGCTGAAGTAGGAGCTGCCACACCCCCTCCTCGGCCTGCACTTCGAGGATTCTGGTAGTTCGAGTGACTCGGGGATGTTGATTCATTTAAACTAACACAATCATCCTGCTGTAACCAGGTTTCTGTAAGGCAGAGTAAATCGATTTGTTTGTCATGTAATAACAGGAACTAAGAAGACAGAGGGCGAATGTTTAATAATCCACACTTCACGGTTTCACTTTACGGCACAGTTGTGGATACTTTTGTTTCTTTTCTTTAAATCATTTTTTGCTGATTGTTTGTTGTTTTAGGAAACACAGAGGATGGGGTTTGGGGGGTAGCAGGAGGAGAGGAGCTGCAGAGAGGCGTGTAAGACTGCACGCCTTCTTCCTGGTCCCAACTCTGGATAGTCATATTTTGGGGGGTTTAATAAATTTGGAAGATTTCTAGAAATAAGAGCTGCTCCATTCAAAGTGGGATGGACACCGTGTTCTCCTAACAAGTCCAGGTTTTCCCCTGAACGTTTCCCCTTATCCAGAAAGTCCACATGACTTTTGGACACCACTCAGACAGCCAGCAAATTTAAGGACGAGATGCGGCTACACACCTCCCCTGGTCCAGGACAGTGCTCAGGTGCTGGTATACATCTTAAAACATTAAAAACTGTAGTATGATCAGCCTATGACAACAGCTGATTGAGGTAGTCCTTTCTCACCTGGTCTTGCTCGAGCCCAGTTTGGCATTGCTAAAACCCACGAGACCACCAACGGCGCACGCGCTCTGCAAAGACAAGACGGTTTTAGAGAACAGTGAGATCAAAACGTTTAAGAAACGCGGAACCAGCTCGGCTCCTGCTGCACATGGTCCTGCCATACTTCCAGATGTCAGCCACTGTACAACAAAGCCTCTCGCGGCTGCCGCACAGCGAGGGCAGGCTAACGCTGAAGCAGCTTCCAGCCGCGGAGCTCGCTCGGGCCGGGCCCTACCTGTGTCTGGAACACGCCGTGCTCCCTGTAGCCTGCTAGCAGAGCGGGTAGATGCTCCGGACGCTGCTCTTTCAGAACAGACACCAAACCCTCAGTTAGTCGCATAGCAGATGGGCCATGCAGCCAAGCCGATGTAGCCATCTTTCCTCTCCGCCAAGCGAACGTCACTACTGTGCGACTCTGATGCCGTCATATTTCAGTGACGTCAGTTTTT